AAACATATTTCGAGAGTGGAAGAATTAGGATATTCTTTATATGTTCATACATGAGGATTTCTAAGATATATGGTGAAGTAGAAAACCTGAAGCAGGCCGGGCGCGGTGGCTCAAGCCTGTAATCCCAGCACTTTGGGAGACCGAGGCGGGTGGATCACGAGGTCAACAGATCGAGACCATCTTGGTCAACATGGTGAAACCCCATCTCTACTAAAATTACAAAAAATTAGCTGGGCACGGTGGTGCGTGCCTGTAATCCCAGCTGCTCGGGAGGCTGAGGCAGGAGAATTGCCTGGACTCAGGAGGCCGAGATTGCGGTGAGCCGAGATCGCGCCATTGCACTCCAGCCTGGGTAACAAGAGCAACACTCCGTCTCAAAAAAAAAAAAAAAAAAAAGAAAGAAAACCTGAAGCATAGGCTATGGAACAGTGTGTGTAGTATGCATGTTATCACTGTGTGCCAAAAATTGTGTGTGCATATGTGTATGTTTTTGTATCTGGAATACCAAAAAAATAGCTGCTAATATGATTATGGTTGCCTCCAGGAAAGAGTCCTACGTGGCTGGGGAAAAGTGAAGGGAAAATTATCTTTTACTGTATAATATCTGTACATTATAAATATTCAATAATACATACATAGAAATAACAAATAGTAAATATAACAAATGTATAATTTGTTATTATAATCTTTTAAATTATGTCCCGTATAAGGTTATTTAAATTATGTCCCTTTTAAGGTTACAAATTTTTCAAAATAATTTTTATTATTTTTATTTTTTATTCTTTTTGAGACAGGGTCTCTCTCGGTCACCCAGGCTGCAGTGCAGTGGTACATTCTCTGTTCTGCCACCCAGCCTCAAGCAATCCTTCCACCTCAGCCTCCTGAGTGGCTGGGACTACAGGCAGGCACCACTACCCTAGGCAAATTTTCTATATTTTTAGTAGAAAAATACTAGATGCCATGTTGCCCAAGCTGGTAAAAGTAATTTTTAAAAATCTAGACCAATTCTACATTCAGAGAAAAAGAAACCAAAGCCAGAGAATAATAATAAAATAAATGACTTATCTATAGGAAATATTTAGACAGTAGGGAAAACTGACAATACAACTTGGACAGCCAACATTGCAATGGTGGGAAACAGACCTGACTTCCATCCCAGTGAGGCTCCCAGGCACCTTTAGTCGTATTACAAGAAAGAAGGCCTTAGGGCAGTGACAGAACTACTTTGGAAAACAAACTGAAAGAATTTCACATGTGAAATTGCATAAACTGAGAGGTGGATGGATTTTAGAGATATAACAGATCAGAAATCACAGTACAGATTAGAGAGCACAAACACCAGATACCTGTGAGTTGTGTTTGGCTTGAATACTGCATACAGTTGTATTTATTTGTTTGTTTGTTTGTTTGTTTTTGAGATGCAGTCTTGCTCTGTCCCCCAGGCTGAGGTGCAGTGGCATGATTTTGGCTCACTGCAACCTCCACCTCCCAGGTTCAAATGATTCTCTTGCCTCAGCCTCCTGAGTGGCTGGGATTCCAGGCATGCACCACCACATCTGGCTAATTTTTATATTTTTAGTAGAGACAGGGTTTTGCCATGATGGCCAGGCTGGTCTCGAACTTCTGAGCTCAGGTGATCCATCCATCTCAGCCTCCCAAGGTGCTGGGATTACAGACATGAGCCACTGTGCCTGGCCTATTGTTTTAATTTTTTTTAGATACACAGCCTCACTATATTGCTCAAACTAGCCTTGAAGGAAATACTGTGTTGAAATTTTGTATAAATTAATTGCCAATATTTTAGGATTAAGAGATATTACACTTAACCAGATTGGCTATCTGGGTTCTTTTGAAATTCTTTTTTTTTAAAGACCTCTATGGTTTAACTCTGGGATCTTTTCAAATTCTGAAAACTCTGGTAGGCGAGGCCTGCCTGCATTGTTCAAACTCTTGCCTCTGTTCCTTCTAGCTTTCCACTGGCAGGCACAGTCTGTATCTAGGACAATCCTTACTTCCTTAGAATGGATAAAGAGCTTCTTAGTTTATAGATAAAACCCGACAGGAGGATTCTGATTGGCTCCATTTGAAACACTTGCTCATCCTTGGACCAACTACTGTGGCCAGACTGGGAATGGTTCTATGACTGGCAGCCCCAGGAGGATCAAAAGGAGTAGGGAAGTCCAAATCTAAGAAACAATGCTAGGCAGACAAAAACAAGAGATGTTTCCTATACAACAATGTACTGATAAAAACCAGGGCTCCAGTTGAGCATGGTAGTGCATGCCTATAATCCCAGCACTTTGGGAGGCCGAGGCAGTAGGATAACTTGAACCCAGGAGTTCAGACAGGCGGGCCAACATGGCAAAACCTCTTCTCTACAAAAAAATTTTAAAAATTAGCTGGGTGTGGTGGCAGTGTACCTGTAGTCCTAGCTACTCAGGAGGTTGAGGTAGAAATATGACCTGAGCCTAGAATGTCTATGCTGCAGTGAGCCATGATCATGCCACTGCACTCCAGTCTGGGTGACAGAGACCCTGTCTCAAACAAACAAAACCCAAAACACAAACAAATGAAAAACAACCAGCATTCCTATGGAAAGACAAATAACCTTATTTTAAAATTGGCAAAGAAAGCCTGGTGCGGTGGCTTATGCCTGTAATCCCAGCACTTTGTGAGGCCGAGGTGGGCAGATCACCTGAGGTCAGAAGTTTGAGACCAGCCTGGCCAACGTGGTGAAACCCTGTCTCTACTAAAAATACAAAAGTTGGCCGGATGTGGTGGCAGCCGCTTGTAATCCCAGCAACTCAGGAGGCTTAAGCAGGAGAATCACTTGAACCTGGGAGATGGAGGTTGCAGTGAGCTAAGACTGCACCACTGCACTCCAGCCTGGGTGACAGAGCAAGACTCCATCTCAAAAAAAAAAAAAATGGCAAAGAACTTGAATAGACATTTCCCCAAAGAAATATGCAATAGTCAATGAGCACATGAAAACGTGCTCAATAACATTAGGGAAATGCAAATCAAAAATCATGAAACACCATTTCACACCCACTAACATGATTATAATATAAAGTTCAGATAAGTGTTGGCAAGGATGTGGAGAATCCTGCTGGGGAGGAGTATAAAATGGAACAACCACTCTGCAAAAGTCTGGCAGTTCCTCAAATGGTTCAAAATAGAGTTGCCATAAATATAGCAATCCCTTGGCATCTGCACAGGGAACTGTTTCTACACCCTTGTGGACTCCAGAATTGGCAGATGCTCGTCTTAGTCAGTTCTATGGAAACTGCCCATAGGAAAATTCCTTTCATCCTCAGGTTCTGCAACCTGGGAACACTGTATTTTTGATATGTGGTTGGTTGAATTGGAGGATGCAGAACCCACAGATATGGAGGGCTGACTATATACTACTGGACAATATGCCCAAGAGAAATGAAAATATATCTGCACAAAGATTTGTAAATGAATGTTCATAGCAGCATTATTCATAGTAACCAAAAGGTAGAAACTTTTTTTTTTTTTTTGAGACAGAGTCTCGCTCTGTCACCCAGGCTGGAGTGCAGTGGGTTCAAGCAATTCTTCTACCTCAGCCTCCCAAGTAGCTGGGATTACAGGCATGCACCACCATGCCCGGCTAATTTTGTATTTTTAGTAGAGAGAGTTGATCAGGCTGGTCTCAAACTCCCGACCTCAGGTGATCCGGCTGCCTCGGCCTTCCAAAGTGCTGGGATTACAGGCATGAACTACCATGCTCGGCCGATCCTGGGACTTTACAGGGTGATTTCTTTCCCATGATTCTTCCCTTACGGTGGAACGCCTGCATGCGCAGTGCCCTCCTTACCCCTGGGAAGTGAGCACAGCTCAGTGTGTAGGAAGTTGTACGCATGCCCATCTGATGCTTTCTTCCCTTTTCTGGTAGAGTTCCCGTAGAAGTTCATACTGCCTGATTTTTGTCTCTTAATGCGTATGCCCTGGTAGTTGCTTCCCCCTATCATCTGCATTCAATGAACACTTTAGTGCAACAGGTGTGGGCCATCAGGAACTGGCCTCTCCCTGGCACCAGCTGCCAATTTATCACTTTTAGAGGCAATGTGATAAAGGCCTAATCATCACCCCACATTCCTCTTGGGTGGGGGAAGAGCCCTCTCCTGCTCTGCTCATGCCTAACTACCTGTTAACAACCTTGCAAATATTAAGCCAACCACCGAAAGACCATAAAATTCCATTTACATTAAATGTCCAGATTAGTTAAATCTAGAGAGACAGAAAGTAGTTTCTTGGTTGGCTAGGGCTGGAGGAGTTGGGAAGAAACTCCAAACAAGTTTCTTCTTTGGAGTGGTAAAAATGCTCTCAAATAGTGGTGATGGTTACCCAAGTCTGTGACTATACTAAAAATCATTGAACACAAATGGGTTAATTATATGGCATGTGATTACAGGGTAATAAATTTCCGGGGCTGCTTCTGCATGTCCTGCCATGTCCTTTTGGGCCTCTGAGAAATGGAGAGAGCTCCATCTGAAGCCAGACTGACTTGAGTTACGATCCTGCTTCTCTTTTCCTCGCAGGTAACTGCTTCCTCAACAGCAACACGGGGTGATGCTCCTTACCTGGAAAGGTTGTTGTAATTTCTAAAAACATACATCAGGGTTAATCATGTGTAGTGTGTGATACACGACGCTCTGAAACACTACACACACACACACACACACACGCACGCACGCAGACGAATATGGGGCCTGGTCGTGTCCCTGGTCCCGGCCCTCGCCCTCCTTGTTTCTTAGGCTCTAGAGCAAGCAGGCAGCAGAGCAGCCCTTGAACCCTGGAGTCAAGAAAAAGCCCCGCACCCCTTGGTCCGAGAGCAGCAAGGAGCGGGGCCTAAGCGCCCGGAGAGGCCGCCCTACCAGGCAGAGGGAGTTGCTACGTAACAGCGGGGACCAGAAACCCAGCCCCACCCGCTGCGGTGAACCAAGAGTCGCAACGGTTCCCGCACTGCCCGGGTGGAAGAACAATGCAGCGCCCAGCCCGCAGAGCCTTGCGGTGCCGCGCCCTGGGGCGGACCTGCCTGTGGCCTGCCGGGAAATGTAGTGTCTGAAGCCCCGCCCGCGCCGCCCCGCCAGTCGCCGGCCGGGCGCCCAGTGCAACTACAAGTTCCATCACGCTCCGCGAGGCCTTGATCGCCAGGCTTTTGCAGGGAAGGGAGTGGGAAGAACATGGCTGAAGGCAGTCAGGGTGGCCCAGCGTGTAACCTGGTGGGTGGCCGGCAGGACCCAGTTTCCGGCACTGACGGCTGCAACTTTCCAGAGTATGAGCTTCCCGAGCTAAGTACGCGCGCTTTCCATGTGGGTGCCTTTGGGGAGCTGTGGCGGGGCCGTCTGCGTGGTGCCGGGGACTTGTCGCTAAAGGAGCCGCCGGCATCCGTGCTGCCAGCGAGTCAGGGGAGCGCTGACGCCGACCGGGAGGATGCCGCGGTGGCCCGGGATCTGAACTGCAGTTTGGAGGCGGCGGCTGAGCTGAGGACGGTGTGCGGGTGAGTGCAGAACAGAGGGGCTCTTGCAGCATGGGATCAAACGGGTTGCAGCCTTGCTTCTGCCCTCCTCTGGGGCTCATCCCTGAGAGGGCCTGTGGTTTAGACCTGGGCTAGAAATATCGCCCTTTCAAAGCTTTCAACCCGCTGGAGCCTCTCTGGAACACCAGGAGAAGTACCGAGAACCGAATGCACAGTTTCTGCGAGTTGGAGCAAAGGGACAAGACAGCTGCATCGAAGACTAGTTTTTCTATTTGCTTATTCTAAAAGTGCTTGTTAATAAAGAAAAGCTATCAGGGTAACAGCGACGTGTACCTGCCGTTGACAGACACTTTGACAATGGAGGAACCTGAGTAATGGTGAAGTTGCGGGAGACTTCATCAGAGGAGTATTAAAATCTCTACTAACTGGTTTCTTTTGGGGACCTTCCGGGTATTCTGTTACTGAAATTTTTCCAAAAAGTGCCTTATTTGGGGATGAAAATAAAAAATAATTTTAATGACCTCTTTCTCCATTTAACAGTATTGGCTGCCTTTATCGGCCTTTTCATTGTAAAATACAACCACAGAAATCATTGTCTTGAGTTCTGGCCTCTGAGCCGCCTGCTGGATTTTATATGGCTTCGTAATTCAGTAATGTATTTAGAAAAACAGCCCTAACTCGTTGTGAAGAAGATCCAGAGCCGACCTTAAAATACTGCTTTTCCTTTTTTGTTTTAGCTTGGATAAACTGAAATGCCTTGAGGACGGTGAGGATCCAGAAGTCATTCCAGAGAATACTGACCTGGTGACTTTGGGGTATGGAGGACTTGGTTTTTAATGTTCTATTTATTTAAACATTTTTTTCAACATTATGTTTTGAAAAGTTGAAAGTACCATACTGATTGTTATCTGTATACCTATACCTTAAATTCAGCTATTGTTAACATTTGACCATGTTTACTTTAGCTGTGTGTATGGGATGCCTGCTGTTTTTTCCTTTTGCTATCCCATTCAGTGAGTTAGACATGGTAATTTACCCTTAAATACATCAGCAGATAGCTCCTAAAGGTACCACTCTCCTACATAATTATTGTGGTATTATACCTAAGAAAATTATCAAGAAATCCGTAATCTGTAATCAGTTCATATTCAAACTTGTGTTTATTTTTGAATATTTTTGAATGTGTGTTTACAGAGGTAGAGTTAGTCTACTTAGATCTGGTGGGAAGCAAGCTAAATACTGATAGTGTATCTCAAACTATTTGTGGTGAAGGACAGTTTTAGTTTAAAAAATATTTAAATCTGACAGATTTTTACTTTGATAAAATATTATAAAAAAGAATTACGAGAAAATGGAATTTAAAAAGACAAACACAATATAAGTTCAAGTTTTTAATTATCAAATTTAACAGAGGTAAAATAGCAATTTTACTGTTAACTGGTAATGGAAGCTTCTAAGGGCTTCCTTTTATTTTCTGTGCAGATTGGATAACAAAAAGGTCACAGATCAATTCTGGTCTGCCTACCACTCATCGAGAGCCACTGCTGTATGATAATACCATAGAGAAGTTGTGCATGTAATAGTGAAATTTATAATTTCCAATTTACAGTCCACTTATTTCATACCACCTCAGCCGTGTTCTGTCATTCTTGATCCTACCCTATTATCCCCCTCAAATATTCAGTCAGTCATTTCAACTCTACTTGGGTTTTCTTTTATAATAACTGCCAAGTCTGTTCCCCTGGTTCCTACTGCTAACTTTTACAGCAGCAATGCCTGGAGCACTATGCAAGGTTCCTAATTGTCTCTGCTAAATACAGTCATTTCTCCCACTGATTTATCCATCACGCTATTTGCCTGAGCATACCATTTTGCTTAAAATAGTCTATGGCCTTACATCTCCTGTATGGAAAAATTTCAAACTCCTTAGTTGGATATTTGAAGCCTTCCACATATATCCCATATCTGTCTTTCCAGATTTATTTTCAACCACTTTCTCTTTTGGATGGCTCAAGATGCATGTGGCCTCTTTCCCATCTGAAACATACCACTTCTTTATTTTATTTTATATTTTCTATTTTATTTTTCAAGACAGAGTCTTACTCTGTTGCCCAGACTGGAGTGCAGTGTGTGATCTCTGCTCACTGCAACCTCCACCTCCTGGGTTCAAGGGATTCTCCTGCCTCAGCCTCCCGAGTAGCTGGGATTACAGGGATTACAGGCACCCGCCACCATGGCCAGCTAGCTTTTTTGCATTTTTAGTAAAAATGGGTTTCACCATGTTGGTCAGGCTCGTTTCAAACTCCTGAGCTCAAATGATCTGCCCTCCTCGGCCTCCCAAAGTGGGAGGATTACAGGCATGAGCTACCACGCCCAGCACATACCACTTCTTCCCTGCGCCCCCCCCAAGAAAGAGTCTCACGCTCTCTCCCAAACTGGAGTGCAGTGGCATGATACTGGCTCACTGCAACCTCTGTCTCCTGGATTGGAGCAATTCTCCTGCCTCAGCCTCCCAAGTAGCTGGAATTACAGGTGTGCACCACCATGCCCAGCTAAATTTTGTATTTTTAGTAGAGATGGGGTTTCAACATTTTGACCAGGCTGATGTTGAACTCCTGACCTCTGATGATCCACGAGGCTCGACCTCCCAGAGTGCTGGGATTACAGGCGTGAACCACCACGCCCAGCCAAGAAACATGCATTTATACTGCCTTGAATGCTAACATTTTTAAAGTCCTTGAAGGCAGGTTGAGAGTCCAAACTCCCATCTATGTATTGTCCTCAGGCCTACTATACTACCTTGTTCCAATTGGTTCTCTGTAACTATTGTTGATTAGTTGTATTTGTCTAAAAAGCAAATCTGGTTGTGTTACTCTCTGTGTTACTCTCTTGCCTCAAACCTTTTGATGTCCCTTAGGCTAAAGTCCTGAGTCTGTAGTGGCTCACAAAGGCCTCTATGGGATGGACCCTTGCTGGCCTTGCTGGTTTTTTTTTTTTTGAAATGCAGTTGCGCTCTTGTTGCCCAGGCTGGAGGGTAATGGTGCAATCTCAGCTCACTGCAACCTCTGCCTCTTAGGTTCAAGCGATTTTCCTGCGTCATCCTCCCTAGTAGCTGGGATTACAGGCATGACCCTCCACGCCTGGCTAATTTTGTATTTTTAGTAGAGATGGGGTTTCTCCATATTGGTCAGGCTGGTCTGGGACTCCTGACCTCAGGTGATCTGCCTGCCTTGGCCTCCCAAAATGTTGGGATGACAGGCGTGAGCCACTGCTCCTGGCCCAGACACACTGCACTATGTTTCAGTTCCCGGAATGTGCTTTCTCACTACAGGCGTTTGCCCGGAACAGTCATTCTTCCTTATCCCTTGGCCCTGCTGACTTCTTCTTATCCTGCAAGTCTTAGCTAAAGGACTAAGGACTCCATTTAGGTTCCCTTATACGCTCATGTAGTTCCCTGTTGAAATGCTTATCACATCTGTAATATATGTGTCTTATTTTCTGTCTTCTAGCCTACACTTGAAAGTTCCTTGATTTTCAGTAGCCTTGAAAAAAAAAAAAGTTCCATAGTTATATCTGCCATACTCACTGCTATATTACCAGTTCCTAGAACTGAGTGCATAGTAGGGAGCCAACAAATATTTGTAGAATGAGTGGAATAAATAAACTTTCAGAAGACTCAGGAAGTGATTTTTAGAGATAGACTGAAAAAAGAACATTGATAATCATAATAAAGCAGACTCTAAATAATAACTTTAATTTATAATAATTTTGTTAAGCCATGTTAAATAGTAATTTTAAGACTATTTAAACATTGCTTCCTCTGACTGCTTTGCATTGCTAGGTCAACTAGATCTCTTTGGTTATCTTCTAGTCCTCCGAACAGGATTTGTAGGCAGAATTATATATAATTTAATGTAAATCAGTACAGTATTCTTCAACTGGGGTTATTTTGGTATATTGTGAAGCTGGTTTATTTGATACATGACTGATGTTAACCTTAATGGTCCTGAAAAAAAAAAGTTAGACTTGTGGCAAAATCCTAAATCTGTACTCTATGCTTTATCTGCCTCTGAACATTCCTTCTCCTCACTAATAACTTAACATTATTATATTGTAAAAACAAAACCTGAGTACACCATTTCTTTATTATGACATAAAATAAATTTCTGGTACTTTTTTTTCCCCTACATCTAATGAAGGAACTCATTTTTTGCATATAAGGGACAAAAGATAGTTGGTAGATACTGATTCTTCTTTGATACATGTTGCTCTCTTAATCTATAGCAAGCTGCATAGCTTCAGCAGTTTTGAAATTTTTTGACATCTTAGTTGGAAGGTCTTAATACCTAGGAATAGGAGAGAGAATTGTTACTACATGGGTGCTGCTAAAACTTACTTGTCATTCCAAAAGCTGCAGCAACAATACTTTTTTTTTTTTGAGACAGTCTCTTTCACTCTTGTCACCCAGGCTGGAATGCTGTGGCTTATCTCTGCTCACTGCAACTTCCATCTCCTGGGTTCAAGCAATCCTTCCACCTCAGCCTCCTGAGTAGCTGGGATTACTGGCATGTGCCACCAATGCCTGGCTAATTTTTTATCTTTTTAGTAGAGATGGGGTTCACCATTTTGACCAGGATGGTCTGGAATTCCTGACCTCAAATGATCTCCCCACCTCGCCCCAAAGGGCTGGTATTGCAGGCCTGAGCCACTGTGCCCAGTTCTTCACCAGCATTACTTTTAATACAATAGAAATTTTAGATTTGCTCATCTCCCTCACTTTTGTGACCAAGAAAGCACTGTTGACAGGTCCAAGATATACTGTTTAAAGGCTAAAAAAGGGAACTTTTAGAGTCTTGCAAAAAAAAAAAGAGCCACGATATTGGAGGACTCATAACTCTTATCCACCACCAAACCAACCACAAATGATTTTTTTAAAAAACTCAAACACGGCGGGTCACTTGAGGTGGGTCACCAGGATTTCAAGACCAGCCTTACCAGTATGGTGAAACTCCATCTCTACTGAAAATACAAAAATTAGCTGGGCATGGTGGTGTGTGCCTGGAGTCCAAGCTACTCCAGAGGCTGAGTCAGGAGAATTGCTTGAACGAACCCTAAAGGCAGAGGTTGCATGCAGTTAGCCAACATGGTGACTGCACTCCAGCCTGGGTGACAGAGTGAGACTCCAAAAAAAAACTCAAATAACTCTCATATATCTGAGGTTGACTGCAGTGACGAAAAGAGCACCATTAAACTGGGAATCTTGTGAACTATCACAATGTCCCAAGTGTTACAAAAATGAGCAAGAGGAAATAAAATCTAAAGAGAAACTTATTGCAGATAATCAGGAAATAACTGATTTATACAAATCAACTTTGCAGACTACCTCCTTCCACCCAGAAAACAACCAGGAAACAGAAGAAAGCCTGTAAGTCTACACTCCAAACAGAACTGAATTTACTCAAATAAGCATTTGAGGGTATAAGAATGTCTACCATGGCTTATAATTTTTAAAAACTATTAATAAGAATGGATGACTAAAGGAGAAATGAAAAAAGTTGATGAAACGTAGGAAAGGAATGGAAGAAAAAGACAGTTACCTCATTCATAAGTGAATAAATTATATGATACCCAAGGACAAATGGACTCAAATGAAAGTAGGAGGCAATGAAGAAAGGCATACAAAGAAGCAAGAGAATTGAAAATGACAAAGAAAAGAGTAAAATGAATCAGAAAGTGGGGAATGGTAGATAGGTAAAGACATAATATTCTTATTATCAGAGTCCCTGAAGAAGAAAAACAAAGAAATGGAACATAA